TGTTTATTCTACTGAGCTATCTCCCCGGCCCCTATCTGCTCATCTTTGATGCAAGACTTTTATCATATGTTGGTTCTCCTTTGCACCCCATTCAGTTTTCTATCAGTTTCTTCCAAAAGCCTGTTAGAAATGTAATATGAATTGTTCAGAAATATGGCTGCTGTTGCTCCATCATCATTCTTTAATGAATACAGACTTCATGGCTTGTATTTCTATTACTTAGGTACTTCTGTTTCTATTTTTCATTGCAAAGATCTGTGCAAATAAAAGAATATCAAAAGGTATAGTTTTAAATGTGTTCTGCTAACTCCCTTCTGCCTTGAAATGCCAGTGAATTGCTGCTACAAAATGCATGCTGATTTTAATGCCTGCTTGCAGGGCAACATGGTGTGGAGAAACAAGTCAGGTTTCATAAACACACAAATCCAGGACCACCACTCACCAGTCATTACCCAATCCTGTGAGCCTCAGTGTACTTGTCTATGAAAGGTCAACAGCAACATCATCGTCACAGATTTGAAAATTAAATGAGATGATGTCTATAGAGTACAAATACTGTAGAAGCTCATTAATTGCCATTTATTTCTCCAGCCTACAGTAGCAGTAGAAGGGGCTATGATGTGCACAAATGAACACTCGTTTTAAGAAGTACTATAATTGGGAAATTTTGAATTAGGAAAAATAAAGCTGAGGTGAGGTTCCAAAGAAGCAGATGATTCCTTTGAGTGGAGCTGATCACAAATGGTGGCTAGTCATTGACAGTTATGGGTGGCTATGACAAAAACAACATGGTTTCTAAATTGTTACAACTTTAGTTCTTTCTAGCTCTGCAGCACTATAAGAAAGGCCTATTGAATGATATATTGCCTTTAAATAAATAGGTTGTACAATTGACAAGAAATACCTCCCATATAAATATTCTGTTACGCTGTTTGAAATAACATAAAATCTCAGCACATTTAGAATATAAGGCTATCATCCGTCACCCTCATATGATGCTCCCATAATGGGAGCATTTTGTCAGTGTAACCAGGCTTTGCTTGTGACCAGTGAACAAATAATGCCAAAAGCCTGATTTCCCAACTAATACATGATGACACAGTCATTGATTCTTTGATAGGTTTTATGTGATTCCAAGAGTATTTGAGTCACATCATAATTTGGTGTTACTTCTCAAACTATAGGACAAAAGGTTCCCTAGAATCCATACTGCAGAATTCTGTAAAGTCAGGAAAATACATCCATGAAGGAGACAAGAGTCCTTAGAACATCCTGCAGGCAGTTCTCAATTTCCATCTGATTCCTTTGCTGCAGGGGACCCAAAGTGGAACATAGAAATAAGATGGAGAAAGAGATTGGAAGATAGTAAGCAATAGTGCAAAGTAGGGCTAGTCTTGTGAATCATCTGCAAGCAATGAGCCTCATATTGTATTCCTTAGTGTGTGTGTGTGTGTGTGTGTGTGAGAGAGAGAGAGAGAGAGAGAGAGAGAGAGAGAGAGAGAGAGAGAGAAAATTATTGAGGATTTAACCCAAGGCCTTCTCACTGAGCTACAACCCCAGCCCAATTTCATTTTTATTTTTTACTTTTGAGATAAGGTTCACTTAGTACTTGAGTTGCATGGAATGGGCTTGAATTTGTGATCATCCTGCCTCAGAGTTCCAGAGTTCTGGAATTACAGGTATGCACCACCACACCTGGATCAACAGTGGTTTAAGATACATATAGCATCTGCTACACAAAACTGTAAATAAATTCAACTTAAGTGCCAGCTCCTGTAGATTAGTAGTGGTTTTCTGAAGTTATAGGCTGAGGTGGATTCAGAACCTGTGTCTGGGATCATTGGGGAATAATGCTATAATTGATTAGCAGTGTCATCTCTGGGCAGAAAATGGAATAAATGTTCTTAACATTGTACTTTCTATATAAGTTGCCTATAAATTATCACTATTATGATTTATTAGGATGATGATTTATTATTACAGAGTGCTAGTATGTCCCCATCAAATTGCTAAATTTCTACATTCTCAGCACAAAATGGAATTATTTAGTTTCTTTGATTACAATAATGTTACATGTCATTTTTATTAGTGTGGTGGTAAATACATGCATATTATTCAGTGAGAAAAGCTAAAAACTGAAATCAAAACTTACTATTCCTAAACTATACTAAACTATTCCTACTATACTAAACACTTGCTTAGAAAAAATATTATGTGGTTACTAGAGGTAGAATTAGGGTTTTTAAAGAAAGTCCCAAGCTATCATAAGAAAGTTCTCGCAGCATTCCATATTGTCTTTAAAATATTCATATGGTGAAAAAACAGAATATATTCTATACTAAGATGCCCTGTGACTGTTTTGTTGTTGTTTATTTTTCCACTGGGGCCAAATTTCTTCTCTGGGTTAATAACCGGGTTCTGTAAGATATCAGGGAATTTTTGAATCCAGAATAACTGATTTTGTATTCTTGCCCCGTTCCCTTGTTTGAGAATGTCAATCTGATCAAATCCATACTTTTAAATTTATATATTTATAGGCATATGGGCGAATAGTTTATAGTCTGAATATGATTTTTTCCCACCACAAATAGAGGGAAATTGTAGTATTGGTTTTTAAAGAAACAGTACCTTATCCATTTCTTTTTCCATTCTTTGTTTCTTTTTTTTCCCCTTTATTAGTGATGACTTCATTCTACTTGAATTCAATGCTTCAGTTTCTTGGGGGTAAACTAATAGATTATGTATGCAGTGTTCACTCCACGTTGATTGATCTCATCTGGCGGGTTTGAGCTGGTGCCTGCATTCCCATAAAGGCAGCAGCCTGTGTCTGGGACCCAGCCACCTCTGTCCTTGTGGATGACTCGGGAGCACAAAAGGGTCTGGGCAGGCCATGCTGCCTTCCCACAGGCCTTACTTCTGAGGGGTCATCTTCTTGGCATTATCTTCATCAAATGTTAAAAAAAAAAAATCCCTTTTATTTTTTTTTTAAAAGGGTAGGAAAAGAACTAAAACTATCTGGAAAGTTTTCAAATGCACACTGAAGATAGAAAGCTACACAGCCTTGAAGAGTTTGTATTTTCTTAATCAAAAATGGTGACTGCAGGTCTGGGGAGCACCCAGACAGCCCACAGCAGTCTGAGACTTCAGAGTTAGGACACCTGTTCACCGTCCCTGACTGACAGTCTCACCCAGGAAGAGCACTTTTCTTCAGAAGGTGCTTACTCAACCCTTTTCCTTGTTACAATTTGCATGCATAATTTATATTAGTGTGTGCTAAGAATGTGTCACTGCTGGCGGCTTGGTGCACATATACAACATACCTTGGTCATTCCCCATCCTTCACTGCCTTCACTGTGGCCCTTTCTCCCCTCCAGAAAAATCTGCCTTTTCACTTCCTACCATCTCTCCTCTATTTTACTCTATACGTCACAGGTCCACAGGTTTGTCATCTCAGAGATACCATACAGGCTTAATTTAAGTACTTTAACAAAACAGATGCTCACTTTCTATTGCTTTTCCAATGCCTTATCTTTATTGGATATCTCTTTTAAATTGAAAAGCCAATCATAATATTTAGGGCCATTTGGGCCTATAAGGCTCTTCATACCTGCACCACTGCCTGCCTGTCCAAGGTCACTCCCCCTCCTCTACATCCCTTATGCACTAGAGCAGCGATTCTCACTTACCATGGAACACCAGTGTCTGTACTGATGAAGTACCCTAATCTGCCAGTGATATACATTGGTCATTTCTTAGTGTAAATTCTAAATGTTCTAAGTTAAAGTTATAAGCACCCACTTTTTTCTAACTTCCTGCTCAAAGGAAGGGGGCGAGTATCACCCAGTGTGTGTGAGGGAGGAGTGGAGACCTTGAGGACCACCACTTGCTCAGGTAGCCAGCGCTTTCTCAGGGCTGTGATTCACCTTGCTCTTCTGTCTTCCTGGATCCGCCTCTCCTCCAGCTGTTGAACACTTATATATATTTGAAGGCTCAGCTACAATGCCATCTCCTCTATGGCACCTCTGTGACCATGTCCCATGGCCTTGTCCTCTGTGGACCTGTGACGTCATGCAGAGCACTGTTGTGGTACTGTCAAAATACATCATAGCCATCTATGTAGCTTTTGGTCCCCACCTCCTGGACTACAGTTCTTGTAGGTAAAGGCTGTGAAATGTCTATTTTTACAGACCTGGGTCTCAACATAAGGTCTGGCACAGTAGGGTGCTCAACTGTGCCTCAAACCAATTAAAGGAGCCAAATGATGACTCAGATCCATCTATCAGTCTCTACTTACTTCCCAGTCCTGAATCACATGGCATGATAGTAGCTCTGTTGAAATGATTATGACATCTAACTCCAAGCTACAGCAAACCACTGGCTAGCCATGCCGGGAGCAACAGTGGCTGTAGTACCAGAGGGAGGCCTAGGACAGGCATCAGGAGGGCACCCTCAGCTGCCACCCTGCCTCCTCTGTCCTGCCTCATGTTTTCCTTGGCATGGCTTTTGCCATTTCGCTTCACCTCAGCTTGGCTGTCCCCACACACTGACATATCCCACTACTATCGTCTCACTCCCAAAATTCATGAGTCTCATTGAAAGGACATTGCCATATGCCAGCTCATATCACATCCAGCCTTCATCCAAACAACTGGAACTTCGTCCCTAATAGGCAACACTTATTTGTGGAAATGAGACACTCACATTAAAACTCAATCAAACTATGTATATGATTTTAAAAAGAAAATGATAGATATTTAAATTGCTCTAAGAGGCCAAGAGTTTAGCTGACCTCATTCCAAAGATTTTCTCAAGTCATATATTTTGAACTTTGTAGCAAAGTTATACATATATGCACTATTTTTAAGCATCTTAATTACTAATTTCACCATTTTCCCTAGCATATTTGAATTATATCATTGAATCTTTCATCTTTAATAGGAAGATCATAAAATGGTTTCAAGGCTAATGTACACTGTGTGACTGTGTGTTGTGTTCTCTAGTGGCCGTCCAGGAAACTCTGACCGCATCCAGAAGCTGCGAAAGGAGTATTATCAAGCTCGCAGGGAGGGCTTCCCTCTATATGAAGATGATGCAGGAAGATCAAGACCCTCCGATTATGAACTTCACTGGGTAAGCCACTACCTGATTTGAACCATTCCAACTTGCTGAAGTAATTTAGGACAGAAGAACACAGTCAGCTGTGTTCTATGCATATCAAGCTTACTGAGGTTCCTTGGGGCTTATGTATCTAGATATTGCCCAAATGGCAGCTGTCTTCCCCTGCAGACATTGCTTACAAAAATCCAGGCACATGTTCCTTCTAGCTTCCCTCGCGTGCTTCCTTCTGGGTATGTGCTGCCTGGTTTTGAGATGAGCAGATCTCTGTCTATTGGAAAGACAGATTCTTTGCCAATGTTTAGTGAGCCTAAATCTTTACCCTCCTTTAGCCTCAGACACCTCAGCCAGCATTAATAGGCCACAGTGGAGGCCCTGTGCCCTTTGGAGTATAGTTATTAGAAGCAACCTTCTAAAGGGTTATTGTTAGACATATCAATTGTTTGGATATTAAATCTGAGCAAATCACATTCCACTGACCTTACCAGTACATTAACATTGCTTGGCTTCAAGATAAAGGGAGATGTGACCAATTTTCAACACATAAGGGCCAGAAAAAATTATTGTAATCACTGAAGATATACTCCCTCAGTTTTTTAAGACTAGAATGATTGATTTTCTTTTCATCTTTTCTAAGAAGGTAGGGCTGTGCTTACAAAATAAACTTTGCTCATGAGGCTCCACAAGAATGTCCCAAGGAGGTGTACGAGTGTGAGAGGACATGTACTGTCAGCTACTCAGAATGGCACTTGACACGGAGCTGGCACTCAACAGTTACTATCTCTCCATACCAACATTACTGAGGCTGAGTTGAACATGATCATAGCAGTGTCCTAGCCGGATTCCTTCTCATGTACCTCTTTGATGGATTACTGCCTACTACTCCAGTTTCTAGTGCTACGTTAGAAACCAAGTAAGGAACTCTGTCATTCTGGTGCTCACTGAAGAGCAGCCCCTGTGGGAGGCCCCTCTGTCAAAGGGAAGTGTTTCCTCCCTATTTCACATTCACATTTATGCTTACAAGATCAGGGTAGAGTAAGTAGTATCCAGCCAAGTGGACCCGTGGTAGTTTTCACATCTGTACAGAGGCAGGTCACACAGGACACACAGTTCGCAAGTCAGTTTCAAGACACAGCACCTTTGGGCAGAGCAGCTGCAGCACATGAGATTCCTGCCAGAAAGACAGACTTTGAAAGCAGTAGCCAGAGGTGTGCAGTGAGGACCAGTGACTCCAAACCAAGTGGCAACAGGCTCCTTCAAGATAGTTTTGGTAGACTATAAACCAGAACAAGCAGCTATTTATTGGCTTTATCACAGGTGTCAGCATTAAATAGAATGACATTTAAAGCACTGGGACAACTTGTCTCTTGGATTCTCAATAGCAAAAGAGAAAGATTTCCACAGAACAGCAGATTAGATAACAATTTATTCTGTTTTAAACTCAATTGAGATCAATTTACTGCCTTTGACAAGAGAGTGAGAACTCGTTAGGTGAAGCTCTGCTCTCTCAACAAAACAAATAAGCAATACAGTGCAGGAAACTTATTTCCACCATACCTGGAACAGAGCACCATGTCCAGTACTTTGAAAAGTAGTCCACCCACAAAGCACTACGAATCCCTATGAGCAAAATAAGCAAGGTATTTTAGATCAGGTAGTCTTAACTGTTTTGACATTATTTTATATTATTTCTTTAATTCAAACTGGAAGGATGAAAATGCTTAACCTCCAGAGACTGAATATTTCCTCCTACCCTCACCAAACTCTTCCCTTGTGTGCTTCCTTCTTTAATGATCCTATTTTATGCTGGGCAAATATATATGTGGACAGTCCAGCGAGTGAAGAAGTGTCTCTGTTTTCTTTGATGTTTCTCACGATCTCATGTGTTGTGCTTTGCCAAACATGACTGATGTTATATTTCCCAGACATTTGGGGTCTAAAGCTTCCCAAAGGGATTCTGGGGAAATGAAGAGATGAGTTTTCTTTGTGATCACCTGAAAATGCCAACCCAGGAATTAGGATCTCAGTGTCCTTTCCTCACCTCTCCCCATACCACGGAAAACACTATTACCTTTGTCTAGCAGAGGCCTGATGATTTGCTACTTTTGGAGGGATCTAGGAAAGTAAGCTTAGAAAGTAAACATTTCATTCCTTCCAGTCACTATGCCAAAGCAGCTCATATGACACTGCAGTTCCTAAACTAGGTTGGTTGGTTTTCAGTGTCACAGGGGTACTTGTTAAAGTCAAACCAATTGGCCATGAAGGGGAGGGTAGGAGAGCCCCCCGCCCCAGGTGCTTCTCCAGGTATTCAACTATGTTTCTAACTCAAATTTTAAAAATGGGGCATTGACTCCTTTTTCTTAGTAGACATTAATGCAGTGCAAGTTTGCTAATAAAACTCTCTATAGCAGTAGCAGCAATAGGAATACACGCATGGACTTAGAATTCCCCATGTCTTATAACTCAGGTCCAGATGTCTAGTGGATGCTCCCCAGTGTTGTACTGTTCTGGAGACCTTTGAGCTCTCAAGGTGCTCAAAGAGACACTAGGAGAAAAAATGACATCACCATTAGTTCCCCCTTGTTATTGAGTGATAGGGGAGCTGTTCCGGGGACTCTTGCAGATATTAAAATCCAAAGTGCTCAAGTCCCTTAAATAAAATAGTGAGGTATTTGCATGGAACCCACCCATATTTTCCCACATACTTTAAATCACCTCTAGATTATTAATAATACCTAATCAATGTCAGTGCTATGGAAATTGTACTATACTAGTTAGACCATAGTGACAGGAAAAAAGCTGTACAGGTTAATAAAGGCACATTTTTTACAAATATTTTCAGTCAGCAGTTGGTTGAATCTAACCTAGGTAGCATCCACAGATATGGATGACCAAATATATTCTTACTAGTTTAAAACTAGACCAGAAAGTATGAAAGTAGGCTCCCAAAATTTCTCAAAGCCAAATTGATTAATTGGCTGATAGACAATTAGGATCTAGGAGTATTTGTTAGAGGCAGCCTTCTCAGTGGGAAGAATACTCTTTCTTTGGCCTTCTCTAGACATCCCAAACCTTCCCTGGCTGCCCTATGTCTACTCCTCTCCCAGTATTACACATATTCAGTGATCGGAGCCTAAGACTTCTCTAACCTTTCTTTCCTTCATTTTGCCTTTCTTTTCTCTGTGTCTCTTATTCAACGATATTTGCTCAACCTTAATGTAGACTTGTTGCTGGTAACAAGCGTATACTATCTCTGGCTTGGAAGAACTCTAAATCTAGCTAAGAGGACAGATATTTAAGCCAATATAGCATAGACAAAGGCCATTGTCTAGGAAGCAGCAAGGTGCCCAGGGAGAGCAAGGGAGTTGGTAGTGGGCAGGGTCTGCAGTCATTTGGAGGAAAGGTACTGGAAAGGCGATAGAAATAATTTGGGATTTACTTGAGCCAGCACATTTTATTCTTTTTCTTGCAATGTGGTCTTAGCTTTTGTTTGTTTGGTTTTCTTTTCCAAGAAAGCTCATGATTTATGCACTTCATTTGTTTTAAAATAAACAAATGCACACAGATTGTAAGGTTTGTAAATATGGACCTGAGACCTTAAAAATCTTTTCAGCCAGTCTGTTTTGTGGCTGTTTTCTCATCCAGGCTCTGAAAAGCTGTAAAGAACAGGTAGAGAGAATCTCAGTGGCTGCAAGTGAAATGCCCTGGTGAGTTGTTATAGGCCCAATTAAGTAAGCAAGATATGTGAGCTGCGAAGTGTTAATATTTGCCAAAGAAAACATGATGCCTCTTATCTGCTGGTATTTTATTTTCTGTAAAACTTGTTAAGACTGTCACAGTCCTCTGGCAACTGGCTGCCTTTTTTATTAATAGATAAAGATTATCTGCTTATTTAACAGAAACATAAATATCCTGTAAGTAATTTCAGAAATAATACAGCTCTAAAATTTACTAAAATATTAACACCTTTAGTGGTTTTTTTTTAGAACTGCATAGTTTGTGTCATTATTCTCTCTATTGGACAGGAAGAGAAGGTATTTGTCCCTACATAGAAAAAAATGAAAGAGAAAACATCTTAAACTCTCATGTTTATGAGTTTACACTGTCATAAAAAGCATGGTACTACATTTCTCTGGCAAAGGGGATTGGCTCAGGTAGATGGTGGTTGAAATATACAGATGGAGAGAGGAGTAAATGGAAACCTTTGAAGGGTTTGTTCCTCCTGTTATGAAGATGGTCAAGAGTCAATGTGAAGGAACCTACTAGGTAGATGGCCTCTCAGTTAGAGATAAATCTAGTGACTACTGCATCTGACGGGAGAACCAGAACCTGAGATCATACTGACCATCTTAAGAAAGAAATTTGAGATGGATGTACAGTCACCAAGAAAGTACAAAAACTACCCAAAGGTTATAATCTAAGCACGTCAAGATGAGTGCAAGCTCCCCTTCTCTCATCTAAATTGATACTTCTGTGGGTTATCTTCATCTGTGTTGTCTTTATCTTTCCTAAAAGGAATCTAATAAAAGCTAAGGAAACTGATGAACAATTCTGATTAGTTCATTGGCTCTTACATTGCAAGGGACTGAAACCTAAGCACACTGGCCTAAGCAAGAAAATAAATTCTATGAGGTCATATAAACACAGCTAACTCTACCCAAAGTTGAATCCACTTCCTCCAGACCTGTCTATTCTCAGGTCTGCTGTGTTGTCTCAAAACACCCTTCCTGGGGATCATAGCAAGGCTCTAACTAACAACTTTGTGGAAAGAGGGTCTCACTCTTAGTAAATCCAGGAGAAGTCCTAGAATATGCATTTCAATGACTTGATTGTCTTAGGCTAGGTCACAGGATCATGTCCGCACCAATTCTCCTGGACAGAAAATCTAGTATTAGAACCAAGCTAGAATGAGGTCACAAAGTCATCTCTGCAACTAGAAAGTACACCTAGACCACCCAAACTCTATACACAAGCATGAGTACAGAGGGAAGCCCCAATGAAATCAAATTATTTGC